GGGGGGGGGGGGGGAGTAGGAGAAGGCTCGGCGGGCCCGCACAGCTCACTACTGGTGCGGGGGAGAAGGATTGGCAAGCCCGGCGGGAGCCGTGCGGGCCTCACCACTGGTGTGGGGGGGGCAAGGGGAGAAGGATTGGTGGGCCCGGTGGCTGGGAGCCACGCGGGCCTCGCCGTCGGTGCCGCGGAGGAGAAGGATTGGCAGGCCCAGGCCTCGCTGTCAGTGTGGGGTGGGGGTGGGGAGAAGGCTCACCTGCAGCTACTTCCTCCTCCTCCACATGGAGCTCCTTCTCCCCCCCCCGTGAGTATCGCGGGTCCCCGCTTCTTGTATTATCTAAATAGCCAATGACTGTTCTGTGTGCAGGCTTGCCAGTATTCCCTTGCTGGGGAATGTGCTGATATAACTTCCTGTGTGCCCGGAAGTGATGTCAGTGCATCGCTGGTGACATCCTGACATCATTGGCGAGAGCCTCCACTACCATAAGTCCTCTCCCCACCCTGCCTGGCAACCCGATCTGTCTGGATAAGCACCCGCAGAAGGGGACCAGCCCCAGCTACCCAATTCCGTGGTACAAAGACTGTGAAAATGGTTTGCCCTGCAAGGGCGCTGGGTGGGGGGCGGACACTGTCGATGTCAAGAGACCTGAACAAAGAAACAGTTTTGAGTTTTGGAAGACACCAAACGGGTCACCAAGGTGAATGCTTGGCTGGCAGGAAAACGCTTTCTGAGTTTCAGGTTGGGAACCAGCACCACCTATCTGTCTGCTTGCTCCCCCATTACAACAACAGCTCAGCTAACTCAATAAGGCCTGTCCAAGAGTGTTACGACAACCGTCTCCCCCAAAGGATACCAGACTTTACTACGGAGCTTCCCTTTACAGCTTCCACTAAAATGACCTCTTCTCCCAGAACTGTCAACAATGACAAAAGAGCTCTGCCCACTAAAAGCAGATATTACAATACAGTCTCCCTCCTGTTCTCCTGAGTCGATGCTTTGATAGTCAAACACGAAATGAGACATCTCTCCCTTGCAATTATCCCACCTCCAGCTTCCCTGCCCTTTAAAACACAACTCATTTTCTCCTGGGAATGGAAATAACCACACCGCAGCAGCCAGAGAGATCTCATCCTCGTGGATGCAAATGGATACTTCTTCTCTTTCCTCCGCCAGCTCTGAGCAGGACTTGGGAGTCCTGCTGGGGTTTTTTGCGCGTTGCCAGATTATCCGCACCCCGCGCCATCTAGCCAAGTCCCTGCTTGACTCCCCGCTAGCCAACACCCCCACCAAAGACGCTGCTCGAAAGGCAATTGTGTGTCAAGCAGCTGGCTTGTACTTTAAGACGGCAGAAGAATCATCAAACTCATCGGTCGGGAAGCCGAGGAGCCTCTATGATTGGTAATGAGGGTATCCGAGGAGTTCAAAGATGGGAGCTCTTCAGCACAAGACTACTCCATCAGCCAGAACTAAGAGGAAGAGGCAGCACGCTAACAGGAGAATTTCCATGAAAGCAACTATCTTCAGAAGACTAACAGGATTCTGGATGCAGACTGGCAGTTACGCATTTAGTGCCATCAGTGTAGCATCTCAAGGGTCCAACGCACTTAATACTGGCTCCCTGGAAACCTTGACTGGCAGATCGGGATGGAGTCTCAATAATGCATGTTCCCCGCCCGCTAATTTCCACCCTCTGCCAACAGACTCAGGGAAATTTTAGCAGTACAGCTACTATTCATACTAACCAGGTTCCCTCCTAACCAACGTTTTCGAACCCTGGTTCCAAACTCGGCTAAAATATAGGAACCCCAATTAGCCATGGTGCAAGTCCAATGCTAAACCTGGTTAAGGCCAACCAAGTCATCTAGGGGAGAAGGGAAAGTGAAGATGCTCAAGGATGGTTTCTATGCTGGCAAACCATGGTTAGCAGGTATCCAGTGTTATGGCGGCACTGTAGTGTAACAAGCAAAAAGTAAAGGTTCCCTTGCTCGAAAGCCAGTCGAATCCGACTCTAGGGATGCGGTGCTCATCTCCGCTTCAAAGCCGAAGAGCCAGCGCTGTCCGAAGACGTTTCCGTGGTCATGTGGCCGGCATGACTAAATACCAAGGCGTACGGAACGCTGTTACCTTCCCACGGAAGTGGTACCTATTTATCTACTTGCAATTTTTTGCTTTCGAACTGCTAGGTTGGCAGGAGCTGGAACTAGAGACGGGAGCTCACTCCGTCATGCGGCACCCGGGTCTCGAACTGCTGAACTACCGACCTTCTACAGCCTGCAGTTCAGCGTCTTAACCACTTGAGCCACCGCAGCTCCCAACAAGCAAAAAACAAAGAGACAAAAAATACAAACTGAGACTCTGCTATACCTGGTTTACAGACCGTTATCACATACTTATTTATATTTAAAACATTTATTAGTGACCTTTCTTGCTTACGATACATAAACATACATAAAAACCACAATTTAAAACCGCAATTTAGGACCACTTTAATCAAATGAAGTCATAACTAAAATGGTCTTCCACTGTCCCCTAAAGACTGAAAATAAGGGAGCCAGGGCACGTCCACAGGGAGGTTGGTCCATAATCATGGGGCTACCACTGAAAAGGCCTCGTGTGCCCACCAGACAAGCTTCTTTGATTGGTGGGACAGTCAGGAGCGCCTCCCCTGTGATCTTAATTCCCAGGCAGGAACATATAGGAGAAGATGGTCCCTCAGATAACCTGGTTCCAAGCCGTGCAGGGCTTAAAAGGTCAAAACCAACACCTTCAGTTGGGCTCCAGAGTGGATCAGCAGCCAGTGTGATTGCCAGAATATCAGAATGACATGCTGCCCCCAACCAGCAGTCTAGTCACGGTGTTCTTTCCGAGTTGCTGCTTCCGAGCACTCTCCAAGGGTAGCCTCAAGTAGAGCACATTGCAATAGTCCAGTCACATCTAGGCAGGGATCACTGTAGCTAGATCTAGAAAAGAGCAAGAGTCCAGTACACCTTAAAGACTAACAAAATTTGTGGTAGGGTATGCGCTTTCGTGAGTCACTGCTTACTTCTTTAGATACAGATAGAATGGGAGTCCATTTGTCCTGTATATTGGAAAGTGGAGTGATTTCAGATGCCAAATGACACGAGCAGGCAAATGACAACAGCAGGTGTGGCTGGATTAGGTGTGATATGCAGAGAGGCATGGAGAAATCAACATTGGTAATGAGACAAGAAACCTAGGTCTCGATTCAGTCCAGGTGGATGCATTGTCTTGAGCGTCATTATCATTCGCAATTCAGCAGTCTCACTTTCTAATCTCCTTTTGAAATTCCTTTCTAAGACAATGGCTACTTTTAGGTCAGCAACTGAATCTCCTGGAAGGTTAAAATGTTCCTCCAATGGTGTTTGAACGTTGTGGTTTCTGATGTCAGACTTATGTCCATTAATTCTTTGTCGAAGAGACTGGCCTGTTTGTCCAGTGTAGAGGGTGGAAGGGCATTGCTGATACATAGCTAGACCTCACTGACCCAAGAATGGACAGTACTGACGCACCAGCTGAAACTGGGCAAAAGCACTCTGGACCACCACAGCCACCTGGTTTTCTAAGGTGATTGCTGTATCAAACAGCACTCCCAAACTGTGAACCTGAGTTTTCAAGGGGAGTATAAGTCCATCCAAGACAGGAGACATCTCAAGTCCCAGGTCTCCGTTTCAGCTTGTTCACCCTCATCCAGCTCATTACTGATCCCAAGCCAAGCACTGGTTCCGAACACCAACAGCTTCCTGGGAATTAGGTGGGAAAGAAAGGTAGAGCTGGGTACCATCTGCATATTGGCGACACTGCAGCCCAAACCCCCTGATGACCTCTCCCAGCAGAACCCCACAGATCAACTGCCATGGGGCAGAGCAGGAATTCAAACATCACTTTTTGAGACTGACCCCCCCAGATAGGACTCAAACCACTGCAACACGGTGCCCCCTGGTCCCAGTGCCAAGAGGTGGTTCAATAGAATACTACTGTCGATACTATCAAAGGCCGCTGGGAGAGCCAGCACATATATGGAGAGCCACCTCACAAGGTGACTGTTGTGGGGAGAGGAAGGGAATGTGATGGCAAGACACTTTGAGACCCCTTAAGGTAGAGAAAAGTGGGGTATAAAAACCTACTCTTCTTCTTCTTCATCATCTTCAAAATCTCTGAAATTAACTTAGACCATACTCTTAGGAACACCGTCTGTATACTAGGCCCAGTTACTAAGGGTCAATATTAGTGATTCCTCCCCCAAGTTAAGGAACTCTCTCCAGCCATAGCCACAATATTAGTGATTCCTCCCCCAAGTTAAGGAACTCCTCCATTGCCAGTGCCACAGCCTGAATAGTCCCCCTTTTGGGAGCCTAACTCTTTGGGTTGGATTTACAGAAATGAAGGTCAAACCAGCCAAACATACAGCCACTGGTGCTCAGGGGTACAGTGCAAAGAAGCTTTTAGGTCAGCAACTGAATATCCTGAAGAAGAATGTCCTGAAAAAGAAGAAACAGAAGAAGCAGAAGAGGAGGAGGAGGGAAATTTATACCCCGCCCTTCACTTGGAGTCTCAGAGGGGCTTCGTCATTGTGAGTAACAGACATTGATGGACCTATTCTCCAAGAATCTGTTTAGTCTCCTACCAAAGAGCAGTCACATCCTGGCAGTGAGCTCCAGAAGTCAGTTAGTTGTATGTTACATCAAGACCAGTGTTCCCTCTAAGCTGAGTTAGTGTGAGCTAGCTCACAGAATTTTAGCCTCCAGCTCACTGATTTTTGTCTTCGCTCAGGGAGGATGACTCCAGAGCAAGCTAATTTATGCAGTAGCCAAATCGCTTGCTCACAACTTTAATGCCAGCGGCTCACAAAGTAGAAATTTTGCTCACAAGACTCCACAGCTTAGAGGGAACATTGAAAGACATTTTTTTTTTCTGTCTATCCTGAATCTACAGCTCCTCTGGCTGTCCCCCTCCCGAGATCTAATTTTTTGGGAGATGGAGAATAAGAATAAGATAAAGATCTCCCTAACTGCTTCTTCCATAACAGTTCCCCATTCTGCCACAGAAGCTCGCTAGGTGACTTTGGGCCAGTCATAAACTCTCAGCCTCACCTACCTCACAGGGCTGTTGTGAGGATAAAATGAAGGAGATAAGAAGGATGCAAGCAGCTTTGGGTCCCCATTGGGAGAAAAGTGGGATACAAATGAAGTAAATAAATAAATAGTTTTGGTTTTAAGTGCTATAAGTCACCACAAGACCCCAAGTGAAAGGTGACTAAAATCTGATTAATAAACAAATAAAAATAAACCTCTACTATTCCCCCACTTAGTTGTCTTTCCCCCCTTTTCGTTTTTGCTGCCAGGATGGTATGGCAACTAGGGATGGGCACAAACCAGGGAAATGGAGGTTTGTGAAGTTTCGTGGTATCTCACAAACCACGAACCTCCACAAATTTTTCCGTGTAATGAACCGGTTCAAGGTTTATGATGCAGCATGGCTTGTAAAAGCCATTTAAAGGGCTCTTTAACTCTAAGTGAACTCAGAAGGCATTTAAATGGCAGCCATGTTTTAAATCCCTTCTCCATGCCCTGCTAGTGGCACCAGCGTGTCTGACAACACAAGCCACATGAGCATCCCAAAGCCACCTTCAAGGTTCATGGGAGTTTCATGGGGGCAGGATGGCATGAAACAAGCTTCACAAATCACAAATTGGGACCAGTTCATGACGAATTTCAGTTCTTAATTTGTTTCTTGCGCATCCCTAATGCTAGCCACTCAATCTTTTTTGGTTACCCTTTTCTGCATTTTCCACCACTATAAGATCCTTTCTGAGATGGGGTGAGCAGTGCTGTACAAAGTACTCTGCAGGCGTAAAGGGGGAAAACGGAAGGCAATCGTTCCCTCCACAATAACAAGCCAATTTGTTTGAGCGAAAGCCGCACAAGATGACAGATAGAGAAGCACGCCCGGGTTCTCTGCTGCAAAGCCATCATTAACTACCTAGAGACCAAGAAAGGTAATTGTTTACAGCCTCTTCAAAATAAATATTCTGGCCTGGAACTTAATTATGGTAAGTTAATTATATACACTTGCTGACAACTGAAATATTGCCAGGAAGAAAAGAGTGCAAAGGAGCTGCAAAAGCTGCAAGAATCACCGGAGACTGCTCCTGGGTTTGACTTCCAAAACTATTCCCGAAAAGTTATTTTTTTATTGTTTGGCTTCCAGAAATGAGATCTGAACATAGGAAACTGCCTCCAAGCCATCTAAATCTCATTTAAACTTAAATCCAGTAATCAGCAACACAAGCACTTGTGTAGCCATTGTGGATAAGATTATGGAGAACTCCAAAGTGCCCAGTTTCTATCGTTCCTCTGTGAACTGTCCACATTTGCGACAGGTGAACACAGCACAGTTCAATCTACCTGGTTTGTTCTAAGTATCACTGAAATAACGGGTTTGAGCTCTCACAGGCCTGTTCCTGTAACTGTGATGCTTTCATCTGGCACAAGGAGCCGGTGGCAAAAGAGACTCTTGTATTGGCGGAAGGCCACTTATGCTGGCAAAAGCACCGCTGTTGACAGAACAGATCCACGGGACCAAACACAATGTATCTGAAATGTTCTAGCAGCTCTATACCAATCATCCTCGTGATCCATTTTCTTTTATTTGTTTAACTTCATTTATATCTCCATCTATTTTTCTTTTATTTTCTTTTATAAATTTTTATTAGATTTTCACACATTATATGTCCAGACGATAAAGGATAGGAAGGGTAAGGGGTATAGGGTAAACATATAGGGAAATTCCATCTAATTTGTATTATGGCTGTTACAAGTTTCTGTTTCTGTTTCCAAATCTCTTTCTTTTATATAATTACTAAGTTTATTATCAGTTAAACAATTCGCTAAAATCTTCTCTTATGAATCCTGAGAAAGGTTAAGCTTTATATAGTTCAAGTTTGAGTTTCTCTACGATTATGATATTTAAATTCATTATTCTTGATCTTCGAAGTTTCTTTCTACCCAGTCATAAAACAGTATCCAATTCTCTTTCCCAGTTTGATTACTTCTGTCTTTCAGCCAGTGCGATAATACGTCCATTTCTGCTGTCTCCAAAATCTTTGTCAAGAGTTCACTTTCCGTTGGTCCCCATCTATTTTTTCAACCCTCCAACAAAAAGGAAGAGATTGTGTGCTGTCACCCACATTATCAGGGTCACTATCAAGAACTATTTTACCCTAATTATTAACTCTGGCATGTGTCCTATCACTCTGCTCACACTGTACTCAGCAGAACTTGAAGTTTTTCTTGAGAACCTGTGAGATGTAGCCGTTAAGAGTGCTGGACTGGGAGCTAGAAGCCCGAGTTCAAATGAATCCCCACTCTGACATGGAAGCTTGCCCTAACCCTAACCTACCTCACAGGGTTGCTGTGAGGGCAAAAGAGAGGAGAGGTTCCCCCACTGGGTCTCCTTTGGGTCCCTCACCGGGGAGAAAACTGGGGCATAAATGAAAAAGTTGATTCATTTGAAATGTGGTGCTGGAGGAGAGTTTTACAGATACCATGGACTGCTAAAAAGACAAATGAGTGGTTTCTAGACCAAAATCAAGCCCGAACTCTCCCGAGAAGCTAAAATGACTCCACTGGGAAAGACAATCATGCTAGGAAAAGCTGGAGGGAGCAGGAAAAGAGGAAGACCCAACATGAAATGGATTGACTCAATCAAGGAAGCCATGGACCTCCGTTTGCAAGGCCTGAGCAAGGCTGTTAGCCATAAGACATTTTGGAGGTCATTAATACACAGGGCCGTCATACATTGGAAGTGCCTTGATGGCCGTTCACACACACACACACAAACACACACACACACATTTATTCCTCCTGCGTCCTGCCTAAGGAACTTTCTTCCAGTTTAAGAGCGACTTAGAGGAAGCCTTCAGACCTGGCTGAGCAGGGAAGGGAAGACAAAACTCACCTCTAGTTTCCAGCCGGAAGCCAAAGTTCTCCTCTGTGTTAAATTGCCACAAACCAAGGAGAGGCCACACAGCCAAAGGCCTGGTATTCCCACTGGCACAGGCGAGAGGCCGGATGCTGAAAGCAAAACAAAAGTAGACAAATAACCAAACGGACCAACCAGACTGCCTGCACAGATCCCCTTTTTGATGCATACAGGCCAGATACCTGCAGACTATCGATGCAAATCAATGCACAGAAATCACTGCAAACCTTCCCCCACCTCTAACGTTGTGTTGATCACAGCCAAAAGATCTATTTTTAAAAAAAAAAAAAGAGAGAGAAAGAAAAAAAATATTTGCAAAGATTGTATTAAACGAATCTCATGAGACGAAACCTGATGACACAAGAAGCTGCTTATGGGCATCCGTCCCTACCAATTTGAGGGGCAGCTTTCTGGACATGTGCCCCTGATGCAGAAGCCACTGGTTTTGCTTTGATGTAATCATCAGTGGCTAATAGCCACAAGGTATAGATGGAGCTGCGGTGGCTCAAGTGGTTAAGACGCTGAACTGCAGGCTGTGGAAGGTCGGTAGGTCTTCGGACAGCGCTGGCTCTTCGGCTTGGAAACGGAGATGAGCACCGCAACCCTAGAGTCGGATTCGACTGGCTTTCGAGCAAGGGAACCTTTACCTTTACCTAATCATCAGCACCACATGGAAAGAGCGAAGCACTGCATTATACATCCACATAATGGGCTCTCTGCTCCCCTTTCTTAAATGAAGCCACAACATGTTAAGCGCCTGCTGATATGACTTCATACAACTTCTTGATCAATCGTAGGACCTCCCTACTGAGAGGCTGCAGACCTCTGAGCGGGGAAGGAAACAAGAAGAGGGGATGTCTTGATATCACCCTATCAGTTCCCTTCCCTGTATTGTGAGCCTCCCACTGTTGTGACACAGATTGCTAATGTTTACGGTCTCATGCTTCTTTAAAAGGGAATTATATCACCATCCAGGGGTGTATTGGGGAGCAAAAATGGTGGTAGAAAGAGCCCCCTCTGAGGGGGGCAGGGTACGGAGAACAGGTCTCCTCCCTTGCACAGGGTCAGGGTTGCTGTCACACTCGTGTCAAGGGCTGCTGGTTCGTGGGAATACCCCCCACGTTGCACACAGAGGGGGGGCTGGTGGCTTGTGGTGGTGGTGGCGGCGGCTCCCCCCACCTTGCGGACAATGAGGGCCACCCTGTGTAAGCTGAGTTTCACCTCGCTCAGAGCCAGGGAGGCCCCTAGTCATCATCCTACCGGGACTTTCCCGGTGGCCTTCATGGTCAATCCACCTCTGCTAAACATCGTACGAACACCAAAGATGCCCCACTCTGAGCCAGACCCGCTAGTCCACCTTCGTTCAGGACTGTCTGCTGTGATTGGTCAGCAGTTCCCCCAAGACCTTCAGGCAGGCAGAGAAAGGTCATTCCCAACACCTGCTATCCCAAGATCCTTCAGCTGGAAACGGCAGGGACTGGACCCAGGACCTTCTGCATGCCAACACTACCACGGAGCCGCGCCCCAGCCCTCCACTCTAAAGCATTCTATCCAGCAGCGCTTGGGACTTCTCTGATCACTGTGTTTAGAACATCTTTTCCTATACTGCCCAGGCAGGACACCAGGAATCCCTCAGCCCCACTAGGAGATTGGACACACGCTGTGGAATTAGACAACTTTGCTTTCCGGGATCAGTACTCAACCACATTGCAATGTTAGGCCAATGACTGGCACTAACCTCTGTATTTTAGTGTGTTTCTTTTTCAGAATAGTATATTAGAATACTGAATGGATGTCTGCTGACAACATTACATCCAGCTCAAAACGCCTGAGAGGAGATAATTAAGATTCTGTTACTTGCCACAATTAGAAAAAAAACACCTTTAGACATTTATCTGCTATTGTGACATTTATTGCTTTACAACCGTTGACCTTATAACCTTAGCTTGCTATTTAGTTTTTTTACTTTGCATAACTTTAACATCATCATGTTACATGTCACTTTGCTGTTAAATCCATGTCCATAAGTTTAGAACCTCATCTGCCATTCCAATGTATTTGAAAAAGGTGTGCCCTGCACACGAAAGCTCATACCTTGAATAAACCTTTGTTGGTCTTAAAGGTGCCACTGGACTCTAAATTTGGTCTACTGCTTCAGACCAACACGCCTGACTACCTGGCACTAACCATGGTTAGTTCTTAAACCAAGTTCTGAAGCCAGGTGATCAGAGCCGCACTGCAAACCCTGGTTTAAAAACTAGCTACGGTTAGCAGATGTAATGCAGTAAGTAACCACGGTTAACATGGAAAGGTTGGGAGAAACCTGCGTGTGTAAAAGGAGGAAGGAGGCACCAGGGAGCCCCTAGCAGACTCCAAATCTTTTAAGAATAGTTAGGAGACTGCTAACATCGGAGCATGAAGTAGATAGCGAAGCAACTTCCTGCTTGGAGTTAAGATTCATTTTCTTTTCCTCCGGCGGCTGAAGACAAATTTTCTGGCATATTGCAGAAGTTTCTAGCAGCCCATTACATGCTATTGGAGCATTATGATCCATTCCCTAGTTCCATATTTTCAAGGGTAAAAAGCTTTTAGTTATATGCAAGGCAATTCCGGGCGTATTAGGAGAGCACATGAAATTGCCATCCTTCAGATTGGAGATAGGTATTTTTTTCCCCTGCCAAATTACAGGCCTAAATCAAAATTGACCCACCATTAGGAAAACATCGCTTTTACAGTAAGTGCGGCTTTGAGAGTTTCTGTGATTTCCGACTGCATTTGGGGAGGGGGAATGGGAATCATCTCCTCATCCTGCCAGAATGACAGAGGTTTTTTAAAAAAAAATTGTTTTTTTAAAAAGCCATTTCAATGAGGTTTTAATTATTCTACGCATCTCTGGGCTGCTTCACCGGCGACACTTCCTCTCTTATCGAGGACAAGGGTGTAGGAAGAAAGCCAGGTACACCATCAAGTGAGACCGTTGCACATACAATAATCAGCATTTATATGACATTTCTGAACGTTCAAAGCACTTCAAAAACATTGGGTGGGTTCTGCACTAGGACCTTTTTGTGCCACTGAAGAATGCCTTTTCCACATTCAACTGGAAATGGAACTGAAATGGGTTCTACACAATACTTATTAAGGGTTTGGGGGGTGGACCCTGCCCCCGTTAGGTTCCCTTCTATCGCCTCAGAGAGGGGCCCATGAGATGGCAAAGGGTTCACATCTTGCTCCTCCTCCTCATGGGTCTCTCCCTGGTCTTCAACTGGTGGGCTGAAGCTTCAACTGGGTCATGATGTGAGTTTAAAGGCGAGTCTCAACAGGGGCAGTGTGGTCACCTTTCATGAAATGGAAGGCACAAAGCCAAACTCCATCCGTACGAAAAGGGTCTGACCCACAGCTTAAGACTGGACTCTGAAAGAGGCAGTCCTAATTTAAACCAAGGCTTTTGAGGGAATTTTGCCCCTTTGGAGAGAGAAAAAAGGGGGCTTTGCCATTAGGGTTGCCAAATGCATTTTGGCCAGGAGCGGGGGGCTCCCGGCCGGCGTCTAATTTATGCGCGCGCCGCGTGAACGTCACCCGGAAGTGACGTCGCACGCTGGGGGCGGGGCCACGGGAAAACAAAGAGTTTTCCCTTCAAATGGCATGGCCCCGCCCCCAGCGTGCGATGTCACTTCCGGGTGACGCACGCGCGGGGGTGGGGTTTCCCCAGGCCCGATTCCGCGTGGGGCAGAAGTCGGGCCTTGAAAGCGGGGGGAAATCCGCCCCCCGGGGGGATTTGGGAACCCTATTTGCCATTATCTTCTTTCAAATGAATAATAGCTTATAACTCTGCATGCGTAAAGGTGACTCTCAGGCCACGTTTTTTTAACTAGCACATTTCTTAAAGGTACATGGCAGACAAAAAGAGCTTACCAATGAACCAATACTGCCTGAGCAACTTTTAAAAATGGTGCCCTTGCAGAACAGTTAATGTTTTCAAAATGTGGCCTTTAAACACACACACACTTTCCCCTTTAAAATGCTATTTGGGGGGGGGGGACCCAGGGAGCCTAGATGGTGGAAAGTTAAAGAAAAGTATTCATTCTATGCATGGCCCGAGGCAAACTGAGGCTGCCTCAGCCTGTAATTTGCATTTTATGGATGGAACCATCTCATCTGAGTGGGGTTTTTTAACCTTGGTCTTCGCAGCCTTACTCTGAATCTACCCACGGCACCACACAGTGCTCTCTATAATCCTCCAATGCTGCAAACACAAAACCATTTGTGAAGAAGATATTTAACACCAATAAGGTCAGGTGGAGGGGTCATAGCTACATACAATGACAGAAGTATGGCATTTAAAAAAGTCTTGCTGAGGAATAAGTCTGACCTTTCCCCTCAAAAGATTCAAAACCTAGTGGAGATTACAAGTTATTTTCTGCCTTGTTGGTTGTGATGCTAAGATACCTGAAAAGTTCAGTAGAGGACATCGATCTGGCTACCTAATTCTGAATACCTTAATTGTTCCCAAAATAGAACTGGCAAGTGGGATGAAAGACCACTCAAAGTGCTATTAAAGCTATAACCTGTCACGGAATCAATAAAGCAGCTTTGCCTTGTAAGTTTGCACCAAAGGAAAATACATGTTAATTTTTAGAACTCAACACCCAAGCTGGATATTAATCGGGGGGGACCACACGAGACTTCTGTGAGGTATTTTGCTATATCGCCAATGTCCGTATTTATGAAATACAAGCTGTAGAAACATTTTATTTTTAAACATCTACTTAAAAAGGAGGAAATCAAAATACTATTACATTGCTACAACAGTAATTAAGTCATAACAAAACAAAACAAAAACCCTCTCAGGGCTGGTTCACACGCAGGTCTCCATGGATATTGCTTCAGTAACACATGGCTCGGCATTGTGTGCGACAAAGCCGAATGCTGTAGAATACGCACACATATGAGGGGAAGCAATGTTCACAGTTGTCAGAACCCACAGCTTACAACGAAGTACACGCATTCAGGAACGGTTATACGTTTATTGCAAAGCTATAGATGCAGTAACACAGGCACTGCAAAGAATGGCAGCAATCCATTGA